TTTTTAAAAAAGGATCAACAGAAACGGACTTCTATTCTTTCAAAAATCACGTGCAAAAATGGTGGTTATAGGCTTCGCGCACCATAAAAATAAAAATAATTATTTCATGAAAATAAAAATAGTAACTGAGATTCGACCAAAAGATCTGCGTCAAAATCTAATTCCGGTAACACAGACAAAAGTAGCAAATAAGGGAGCTTTGAAGAAAATGAGCATATAAATTTGGCTCACCAGGATAGAGAAGAATTAGCTCTTGAACAAGAGCATGCTCACGTAATATGACTGGTATAGAGACAATTAGATAGTGAGAGTGCCCAAAGAAGAAACAGACTATTTAATAAAATCTTATATAAGATTAAGATGAAAATTTAATCAATCAAGAAAATGGAAGAGCCATTGAATTGGGGAAGCAAATAATTGAGCAAGAAATAAATGACAATCAACAAACAGATCATGATAATTTACAAGAATTTAGTTAATGAAAACAAAAATTTACATCAGCAATTGAGATAAAAATTTAATGTTCTTTTGTCACGTGAATTACCTAAAAATGAAATTGAGATTATCCGAAAATTTTAATAAAGATTTTGAGGAAAAAATAAAATAAATAAATAAAACAAATGTTTAAATTTTTTAGAACATCTAATAATATTAATATAACTAATATATCAAGAAAATTAAGACTTATAATCTATCCATTAAAGAATAATATAGGTTTGAAATTGATATTTTGTTCTAATAATGCATTATTACAAGGTACTACAACAACTATTAGAAAAAAATATCAAATTCAAATACAAGGTTTGTTATTTTATACGACTGACACTCGAGCAACAAACCTAACAACTGCAACTAAGACAACTATTAACACAGCTAAAACGAATACAACTGAACAACAATTAAATTACTACGAAAATTTTCGAAAGGCTATCAAGGCTGGTAACATTCCAGAAATAATTAAAACATACCAAGAACTATTTGATAGCGAGCAAAAACAAGAATTAAAATTTAAAGATTATAACAAAGCAATCGATTATATAAGTAGGTCAAATTTAGATGAACATTTACCAATTTTGTATAAAATGGTAGAAGATATGAAAACCTTAAACATTCAAACTAAATTATCTATATATACTTCACTTATGTATGCAAACAAACTTCATAATAAGCCTTGGGAGGCTTGGAAACTCTTTGAATCGTTGAAGCATAGTGGATACGAAATCGTTCACGTTGATGCTTATTTAGATGCTTACAGTTTATTGATAAATGCTTTCAAACAAACGTTAAATTCTGATGGTGCAATGATAGTTTTTATGGATATGAAAAATCATGAAAAATTTCAACCTGTTGCTCATCATTATCATGATCTCATCGAGTTGTTTCAACTAAAAGGTGATGTCAAGCAAATGGAAAAACTTTATGACGAGATGATCGTAAACATAATGGAACCGCTTGAAAAAACATCGTATCTAATGATCAATCAATATATGGGATTGGGCGACATCAACAAAGCTCTTGTAATTTATAAAAGAATATTACGCTCAAGTAATATCGATAATGATGATGGCACCAGTCACCAATTAGATTTGTTAACTTATAATAATATTATCTATCTAAGCATTCAGGAAAATAATATTCAAAAGGCCATGCATTTTTATGAATCAATGCTAAAAAATAACATTCAACCAAATCACACGACATATGACATGATGTTTAACATGTGGTTGGATAACGATGATTCAAAGAACGCATATTCAATTTATAAAAAAATGATTGAATCAAATATAAATCCGAATAAAGATTCCGGGGTTATAATACCATTATTATTTAAAGAAGGTGAAATAAAATCATCGATTGAAATATTTAAAAATGAAGTACAGGTTGCAAAGGAGCAAGGAACCACAGACGTTTATTATGACACAATAAAGAGGATTTTTAGAGGTTTTGATAAGAATCCATCACAAATAAAAGATTTTTTAAATGAGGCTAAAAATAATCATGGAATAGAAATTGATGAAAAAATAGGAATTCTGTTGCTATATCATTATATGTCTATTAATGATAACGATAGTTTAATAGAATTTTACGATATATTGGTAAATAAATTGAATAGTTCGATAGACACTGAAACTTACACAAAATTGATTGAGCATTTAATTAAATCAAAAAGGATTGAAGAATCATTGCAAGTCTACTATGAGGCTAGATCGAAATGTGGTTTGAATACAAGAAGTTATAACATTATACTAGACTCTTTTGCCAATATCAATCACATGTCCGAGGCTCAAAGAATTTTTGTTGACATGAGACGACTTGATGTCAAGCCAAATTCTTATACTTACAGTGCTCTAATAAAAGGACTAGGTAAAACTTATGATTATGATGGTGTGGTGAACTTTCACAATCTACTTAAAATGAATCTTGATGTAGAATTCGATTTAATAATTTATAATGCATTGATGGAAGCTTATAATAGATGTGGATATGGTTATCAGGTTATTCAATTATGGGATTTGTTGGTATTGTCTGAACATCCAATTGATGATAAAACTGTTTCAATAGTTTTAGATACTTGCGGTTATTGTTACATCACTTATAAAATCAAAGAAATATGGGATTACTTAAAAGACAGGAGGTTTAAATTCTCCATAAATAACTATAATTCATACATAGAAGCATTATCACGTACCAATCAATTTACAGAAGCAAAACGTGCATTAATGTATGAATTACAACAAGATGGATTCGTACCGGAAGAGAAAACTGTAAGACCTTTATTATCTTTTTTGCATGATAAATCTAGAGGTAAAGATCAATTTCATATTATAGATTGGATTAGGAAGGAATATCCAGATTTAGCAGTAAAACTAAAATTTAGTAGAGTATAAGAAATTTATGATTTTAAGTTTATTTTAGTTAATTAATTATTAAAAATTAAGATATTATTATAAAAATATACAAATGGGATTTTCATTATTCAAAGAAAAAAAAACAATAAAAATAAATAATTAAAAAAAAAAGAGATGAAAAACAAAGCTAAAGAATGCTAATTTATAATTAATGATTAAATAATTAAATATGTAATAAATATATCATTGTTCAGAAAAAAAAATTTAATAAATCAATAAATCTAACATTTAACAAAAAATTTAAAACTTATATAAATTCATTTCCATCTATAGGTGCTAAGTCGTTATAATCTTTAATTAGATTATCCCTTATTTTAAATAAACCTGATGATTTCATGCTAGTTCGTATTGTTGAATTGTTATGATATGCAAGAATGTTTATTGTACTTGCAAAATGACGTCTAACAGAAGTTGCTGTAATAATAACTTGTTGTTCTAGTTGTTGATTTGATATCGCATTATGGAGATTTGTAGACGGTGATGATCGAACCATAAAGTTTGGTAGCGAAGCAATAGCTAATTGGGTATTTTCAATGTCAATATTATTGTAGTTGTTATTATTGTTTTCGTTATTATTTTCATTATTATTGTTTTCTTGATTATATGACGAGGATTTAGAATGTGATGATGATATTGAGGATGCTGATGATGCTGACGATGGCGATGATGATAAAACTTTACAAATATGTTCATCCAAGTATTTATATAGAATTCCTAAATTTCTAAAAATAATGTTTGAAGTGTTTGTACTCACATTAACATTTGGATTTTTATCAAAATATGAAATAGTAATATCCATTATTCTAAGCGTAAAATTTTCGTAATAACTATTATTACTAGAACTTGAAGAAACCAATAAAGCACCTTTGGTCTTCGACGTAATGGAATTCTTTCTGCTAATATCAAAAATCATCATTTTTTGAACTATTGTGTCGATAATTGTAAGAATACTTTGATGACGATAATGTGTTGTTCCCTCCGTCACCGTCATACCACTACGCACACTCACAAATCCTATTATCCATTCCAGCCAATTTTGTTCCCATAATATGCGCATATTAATAGGCGTCAACAATCTTTTTACATCTGTCAACGCTTGGAAGACCAACTCTGAATTCTTGGAAAGTTTAATTAAATCAAATAGTAAGCGAACCATTTCGGGATATATCAATTCATCTGACGATTTATTATTATCATTATTACTAATTGTTCTTATACTATCTACTGAGCTACGTTGCGAGCTTCTTTTAAAAATTGGCCGATCTAATGTTGTCAAAAAACCATTCTTGAATTTAGGATCATTTTGGTAATAATTAGTCCCCACTCCAATCAAAACTTGTGTAAACTCTAAAGAAAGTTCGTGCCCTGCTAAATATGAAAACATAACGTCAAAACCATTGTTAACTCTTGTTAATAATGCCTTGCTATGTTTAATATTGGAACTCATCAAGATACCAATCATCTTCAATATAACTATACAGAATTTTTCATTTGGAGCTTCAAGAAGCGGTGTCAAAAGTGATATTCCTTTCAATACACGTATCCTTTCCACAAGCTGACTATCATGCGTCATATTTTTATAAATTATCTCGACAATGTCATATTTAATATCCAAATTTACCCATTTACCATCACCGCATTCAATATAATTGAATAATTTGTTTAGCTCTTCTGTGGTGATTTCTGACATCATTGATTCAATTACTCGCATTATAAAAGGTTCAAGAGAACAGGAAAGATTGTCTAATAGTTCAAGTAGTGTTTCCACTCCGAGATTCGTGCGCCAAATCTTGAGATTATTTGGAACCTCTACTAACATATCAACCAACATTCTTATAACTGGCAATTGAACATCCTCTTTACAACAGCTGCCTAAAAGTTCAACAATCACTCTTAAACATTCTGTATTAACTATAACCATTTGATCATTTCTTGTTATCCCATCACTTGCAATATCCATCAACACATTAAAATGTTCAATGCTCAATTCATTATTATTAGAATTGCCTAATAATTTTCGTAATGTTGAAAATCCATTGTTCTCGGTAAACTTTGCCATGTTTTGTGGACTTTTATAAAGTAGATTGGATATGGTACGAAGCCCAATCAACTGATGTCGTGAATCTAATTCTAAAAATCGAAAACATTGTTCTACTTTTCCAAATTGTTCAATAATGTCCCGCATAGATCGTGTTACATGCACTGTACACCCGCCCTCTAACTTTCCGGTTATTTTTGTAAAATCAATTGAATCCGAATTTCTTCTTGATTTTTCTGGCTCCAATATCAATTTTTGTTCAATACTTAAATAAGATTGCGGGTGAACTGAAATAAATTCTTTGTTCTCGATTCCTAGAACACGATAATTTTTTGAATATGCTGGTCCTTGATTAAAAACCTTTTCTGCAGTTGTTTCATCCCAGAGCCCTCTGAAAAAATAAACCGATGCAATTTGTCCGTGAAAGTATCCATTGGGTGATATTGGCATTGGTGGTATTGGTGGAGGTATCGGTTGTACATTGTCACCGTTATTATCATTGTTATTATTATTTAATGACATTTTCTTACCACGACGTCCCACGACTGCTACTATTTTCTCTTTCCCCATCGCCTTTGGAGAATTAAACATATCATAAGATTGCATAGAAGAACCATCAACAATCAAAGAAGTTCCATCTTTCGAATGCACGAAAACAATATGATGCCAAACGAGGGTTTGCTGAAAAGAAAATCCATCAAATACAAAGTCCTCGGGTGGTAACGGAAATTGTTGTGTTTTTACACATAAACAATACCTATAGGGCTGGTCAATTTTCTTGAAATAAAGTTCGAATGTTGTATTGGCACCCGTTAAATCTTCATAACACAATAATCCAATTTCATTCTCTAGAAATGCAGTAACCTTCACCCAAAGACTTAAAGTATACCCATTTTTCACATTAGGAAATTTATCCATTGGTATAGTTTGCAAACTGCTATCAAATCCGTTGAAATTGAAATAACACGATGGATCCATTCTTTCAGAAATACGTTCAATCGCGTATATCATTTGAGATTGTACTTCACGCAGAAAAAAAGGATCATAATCAATTTCTGCAGGTTCATTTTTAATAATATTATTGCTTAGTTGTTGCTGTTGTTTTTGTTGCTGTAGGGCCATTGATTTACTAAAAAATCCTTTCGCAAGAAATTGTTTAAGCATTGAAAGAGGATCATAAGCAGCATCAAATAGTAGTGTCACATCATGATTTGTAATATCATATGCTCCAAGTGCAGGAATTAAGCCAACGTATGGTGGTGGTGATAATGGGTGTGCAACAACAGTAGCATCGTTTGAACTTATTTTTGACTTGTAGTGTTTTTGTTGATTGTTATTATTATTGTTCCCTTTTACAAATAACATCTCCGTCACAAATTTAAGACCATGATTAGCACAGAGAAATTCCTTGTTTCGTGGATTAACTTCCATCAATGACATTATAAGATTAAAATAGTATCTTTGTAAAGTTTCATCACATTTATCTGTAATATGAGCTAATATTTTTAAAGACATGAAAGCGGCATCAATGTCACGGAAAACAATATCAGTCCCGTTTACAAGTTTTTCTTTAACTTCTTCGGTTACATTAGTACCATTGCTACTACTTCTGCTGCTACCACTACCAATTGTTTGGTTAGAACTTAAACTAAACCCACCAAGGTTACGAGAATTACTACGTTTACGAGTGGTTGGTTGCTTATCTTTTTTTTCGAGCATTATTTCCTCGGATTTTATTTGATTCACTCTTCTTACAGGTGATAAGGTAGGGCTTGGAAGTTGCATATTACTTCGAATAGACATAGTAGGAGAATCTAAACGATCGTGTGAACAATTGTTGGTATTTAACCCGTTTGGCTTATTACTATTGTTACAGCTACTATTAATTGCAAGTGAACTATCGTTTGTTGTCGTTAAGTCATTTTCATTAGTCATAAATATAGTATTATTTAATGATACAAATGAACCATTCAAAGTACTTCCTTCATAAATACTGCTGTTATTTACTAAAGAAGACATGCTATTGATAGTAGCACGACTATTGTTCCTTTTGTGACCTTGATTTCTACACGAGACCCTAGAATAGTTGACGAAGAAGGAGAAATAAATAATTAATTAATTAATTAACCAATATATTTATATATCTAATTATATAATTTATGACAAAAAAAGTTTTTGTTTTTTTTATACATACATTTTCTTATTAAAAGATATTTGTCTTCTTTGTGTAAAAGGTAACAAATTTGTAAACAAAGGCACAGGTTTTAATAAATTGGTAATAAATGGCATGATATCACTACTGATTAAAAAATTATCAGTCTTGGCTATAGATGGTGACAATGGTCGTAGTACACTTCCATCAGTTGCTACTTCGAGAAAAATCTCACAAAAAGCTCTAACAAATTAACAGAATATAAAACTAATTAATATATACTCTACACACACAAAAAATTACGTGAGAACTTACTTATCAATAGGTATTGTAGAAGAAAGTACCAATTCAAGAAAGCCATCATAACTAAAAGAGTTTGCGCGTAACAGTTGAGCATCGACGTGACTTGAAAAAAAATTACCCACTGTCTGAAAAGCAGCTGAAGCGACATTTGAATTGGTTGAATGTTTTATTATACTAATCAAAACCTCCAAACCGCCAAACTCGCCAAACAATTTCTTTGCCCTGTCACTCTTGTTTAGCACTGAAGATACTAAATTACAAACTTTGGTTTGAAGCCAAGGAAAATTAATACGTTTAGGGCGATTTTTTACAGAAGGAGGAGGAAAACCCCTATTATTATTATTTCTAGAATGATGAGAATAAGATGATGAAAATGATGATGATGATGCTGATGATGATAATGACGACGATGACGATGATGACGATGACGATGATAAGCGTGTTGTTATATTTGAAACGGTAATTGGAATCGTTAAATTTTTACTACTTTCAAAGGAGGAATTTGTTTTAGTTGAATTAAATGATGTTAAATCGGAATTTTGATTGTCGACAATCATGTATTTCAATATTCTAATAAGCCACTGAAAATAATAAATCGAATAATTTTATTGTGAGATAAAGTAAATAAATGATAATAACAATAATCATGATGATCATAACGACAAATAATATATACTATTACTGACCTTTACACTCTCAATGCAATCTACACAACAAACAATGTATTCTCTTAATAACCAAAGTGCCATATCGGCTACCATGATATCTTCATCCAGGCCAGGTTGCTCTTTGATAATAGTTTGTGAATAAGTCATTGTAGTTTTATTAACATTATTTTTTTTTTGTAAAATGAATTCTTCCTCTTCAGAAAAATCAACACATGCAGATGACAAAACAATTGCATTGTGAAGAGTCTCAAACCCTTGTAAACTTTCAAAAAGCTCCATATTTCGCCCAGTAGCATCGACCAACAATCCGATGTTCTGTAATATCAACAAATATTGTTCGGCTATAATGACACGTTCTAAACTATGGTTGTTGTTAGTATTATGAAGAGGTGAGTTGATAATAAAAAATTCATCATTTTTCTTTTTAGTCATTAATGACTCATAATTTGAAGGAGTTTGTTGGTAAAGTTCTCTTAAAAGTTGTAAATAATTATCTAAAAAATTATTATCTACAAATTTTCCTCTACTAAGTAGATCGGTAAACAGACGTGAGACACTATGCAGTATAATATTGACTATTATGTTTTTTGCCGGTAATAGTGAATTTTTCATTAGTATTCGAGTGTATTCCTAAAAATTATAACAATTAAAAAAAAAATTTTCTAGTTAGAAATAAATAATCATAAGAACATAAAATCTTACTATAATATAATTTTTTTTTACTATAATTTTTCAATTATGAATTTTTTTTTTCTAAAAAAAATTTTGTAAATGCATACTTTAAGAACAAGTAAATTGTTTTCACTCAACATAACTGCCATATATTCTAAAAGACGCGTCAGCGAAACTATGTAACGATAAATCGGATTTGAATCAACTGCTTTTGCAATTGGTGAAATTGTTGAAAATAAAGAAGGCGGCGGTGATGATGATCTGAGATCATTGGCAGCGGCAGTGGTTTCATTATCATAATAATTAACTTCATCATCATCATTATTATATTTTACATCAGAAAAGGTTTTATTGTTTGACTTTAATAAAATTTCTCCTAATTTTAAAGCTTGGGAAACTTCATCAATATTTCCGGATGTTTGTAAAGCAGAATCCAACACATTTATTAAAATATCAACTCCGCCTATTTTCCATCCTACAAATGCATTAAGGCAATTTAACGAAATCAAATCCTGTATACATTTAATTGCACTCTGTCTTACATCAAGTTGGGAGGATGACGCAGCCGCACGAAAAATGAGTTTAAAAACATCAATATTATTGACAATCTTTAAAGAAAGATAAATGTTTTAAAAAAAAATTAATATTATATATAATATTAAAAAAAGTCTAAATCACAAATTTACTTCTTTATAAAATCATTATATCTTACCATATCTTTGTTACCATCAATAGAGAGTGTAAAGAAAACTGAAAAGCAATCTTTAAGAAAATATCCCCTGTCAACCATATCAATTCCTGAAATATTATCATCATCGTCTAATATACGCAACAATATAGAATATCCGTTCATCTTTCGAAATTCAACTTGATTGGTTGAATTAAGAAATAAAAGTTTACATATTGTCTCTACAATATCAAATCTTAATGTAGATGTAATGGCCGATTGAGATGTAGTTTCGGATAGGATATTTGTAAGTGATCTCAAAGCTCCTTGAACACGCATAAATTCCTGAATTAAAAAAATATATTTAATGAAGAGACTAAAAAACTTGAAAATTTTTTGTGAATAATTACAAAATCCTACTTTTAGCATATCAGAATTACTATTTGTATTTTTTGATTCTGGAGATACAATTCCTGGATTTAAAGCTATCGATAAAACAAAAAATTATTGTATTTTATTGTAAGTATAATGTGAACTTTTTTAATATTAAATAAAATATTAAACAAACCTTTGGAAAATTCATTCTGATTACAATAATTAATAATATTGCTTGTTTTCATTAATAATAAATCATGATTGTCTTGAGATAAATCTGGAGTGGATGCAGCAGAACCATTAATATCATCATCGCCATTATTATCAATGCTACTGCTATTATTACTATAAATAATATTATTAGTGTCAAAATTATTGGCTATATCTATATTGTCTAATTGATCAATGTCTTTATAATCTATATTATCAAAACGTAATATTATTTTTTCTATTTGATCAGATGTTGGGATATATGATAATGTTCTTTAAAAAAAAAAAAAATGGAAAAAAAGATTAATTTCATAATCTCCCTAAAAAACCCTCCTCTCCAAAAACTGATCAAATACCTTTTTCCTTGCCTATTAATCTTACTAGTAAAATTTAAATCTTTATTATCTAAAATATTATTCGTCACCACGTTGAAATTAGGAAATACTTGACCAAGCTCTGAAGTCAATATTTCTCGAACCTTAGAAACGACGGTAGAAACCTTACTACCGATAATACTATTAAAAAATGCATTTGCTGATTCTTCTTCATTACCATTAGCACTACCAAATTTATTCACGTTTTTATTTCCATGATCAACCACAATTTCTCCTGACGTTGCAATATTAATATTACTATCATTAGAATTATTATTGCTGCTGGTGTGATTGTGCTGTAGATCATTGACATTAATTGATGATTGCTCATCAAATGTTGTATCTTGCCCATTTTTCTAATATCAAATAAAATTTAATGTAATCAGTTAATTAATTAATATATTTTATTACTAAATCTATATATTAAAAGTTACCCTAAGTGCCTCTCCCTGAACTTCCAAAAAATGCTTTAAAGTTTTAATAATCTCCTGTGTCAATTCCGGATCACCATCAAGCAATAGTTGTAATATCTTTTTAAAACCTTCATGTCTCCCTATTCAAATAAAAAATTCATTAAGAATTACAATCTGTGATGATAATTTTATATTATTTATAAAATGATTTAATACCAATTTCAAGCTTATTTAAGTCACTTTCTCCCAATGTACTGATAACTCTTAATGCTAATTTTTTTGCTTCAGTAGTGTTTAATTTTTCTAACAATAATAAAATTCTACATATAAGATTGGGTGTATTTGCTACCACTTGCTGATATTTCTCATCCTTGAAATAAAAGATATCAAAAATTATTTTTTTATTTTTAACATTAAATCATTATAATAATAATTTTAATTAGAAAATCAACAATGTAAATCACCTTTAATATTAATTCCGAAACATTTAGTCCTTTGTTAATTAAATCTGCAACTCGATCTAATTCAATGTCAGGTTTTTTCTTTGTAACCTCTCTTATTATAGTTTTTTTTTAAAAAAATTATTTAATTTTAATAAAATATTTTGATAATTAAAAATCAACATTGCCAATATAGAACCACACATTTATCATTAATTAATTGTACCTATCGATCGTATTTAATAAATTTACCAAAACTTCAGTACAATCTCCATACAGCTTATCTAAAGCAACATCCGAAGTTATTCCACATGCACTCCATTCTTTGTACGCATTCTGAAAAGTATCTAAAAAATCCTCAAGTTTTTGAACCATTAATTGGACGTCACTAAAAAACAATATAATAATAATAGGAAACAATTAGAATTAAATTGTTTTAATGATTATTCATAGATCAAAGATTTGATCGGAAAATTTAATAATTGAAATAAAAATAACAAAATAAACAAATATAATTTCTTAATACGTGTATAATTGAAAACTACTTGTAAAAAATTCAATAATTTTTGATAAGGTTTTATTACCATAGGTCAATAATTATATTTTTCAATTGAGACAGATTCGAGTAACTCAAAATCTAAATCTAAATTGATTAACAGTGATAAGAATTGATAATCACTACTAAAGAAAAAAATTTACTATTTTAAAACCAAGGATAGATAGATGTATATGCTAAGAAAAGTAGATCAAAAAGTTTTACTTTCTGTAATGCATAAAAAAGTATCGATTTAAAAACACATAAACTTACTCCTTATCAGAAACTGCTATATATTCTTGCCAACAATTTTGTATTCGACGATATGTTCTATGGATAGCCCATTTCTGCCGCAAAGTTGCCATTTCAAACAAGGTAAGCAACTGGCAAAAAGGATAACGAAACTTATAGTGGGCAGTAAATGATGGAGAATGGGTAACTGCATTCAACAGTGTATAAAAATGGTTCTGATATTCTTCAAGTCTATATAAGATATAGTATTATTATATATATATATTCGATATGTCTAAAAAAAAAGTTTAAAAGTAAAACAAAAAAAATTTTATTTAACACGAATTATGTGAAACATACAAGCAGCCATTAGTTTTATCAGTACCCCGAAAAACTAGGACGGTTTGATATCACACCGTGGGTGACTAGCTTGTTAGAGAAAAATTCATCCAAATTTGGTAACAAGTTTTCCAAATTTGATTCCATTTTTAATATATTAAATATATATTGGCCCAGCTGCGGCAGTAGCCTATCTATTCTCGGGGAGGTCCTGTTTTATCAACGCCTAATGCAGATCTTCTTTATGTCAAAAAAAAGCGAGAATGCGTACCAAGGAGATACTTTATTGTCTTGGAAAACTTGAGAAGTGAATTAAAGGTTTGAAAGATCTACATATGTCAGAGTCTTGCCTTTTTTTTTGTTCAAAACACTGCTGTAATGTTATGATTAATAATATGCATTATTAAATATTTTATTTTATTGATTGCATTATCATTATCTACTTTCCTTTCTATCATCAAAAAACAATACAAATTATGTCAGTCAGATAAATAATCACGTAATAAAAAATTGTTTATTTAATATTAATAAAAAAATTGGTCCGCCGAGTTCTGACTTGGTGACAAATTTCCTGCCACATCCTTAATGCATCATACGGTTTGTAAATGGGGATCCCAAATGTTTATTAATAAAAAAAGTCAAATTGGTAATATCTCATATTCAGGGCCCTAGCAAAGTGATACAATCAGGTAAAAATTTGACCCTAGAGACTGTTGAAAAAATATAGTTTTAATAATTTTATAATGAAATTTTGCTTGGAGAAATTAATCAACGTTTCCAAAACTCTTCTTTATTCAATTTCATGAATATTTTTAATCCAGGGGAATGGCAAAAACTAGAAAGTTTTAGTAATGAAGAATAAGACCAATGAAATTCGGATCGATTCTAATTGGGTACTTGATTCAATTCTATTCATAGAATGTATATGGGCGTGCTAGAATAGTAACAGTAACAAAGAAATTTCAGGGATTACATGACTGATCCAATACTCTCGTTACATATGCGCTGATTTTGTTTGATCCCCAAAATTCAGTACGGTAACGTTATGAATACTTTATACTAGCAAAAAACCCATTGGTTTTGATGTGGAGGCCATTGGTTTGACAGGCTGTTGAATAGTAAAATAGTTCTTTAGCGGAGCAAATAAAATTTTTTAGGGTTAATTATCGTTCTGCTAACCAGTTTACACATTAAAAATACTCGTGTTTAACATCGAGGCACAAAAAGACATAAGGTTTGAAAAAAGGCCCAAAAAACCAAATCGGCTAATATGAATTGATTATCTGACATGTCCACTAATTTTTTTGTTTGAATAAATAAATATTTGTTTCGTTATTATATTAATATCCAGCCAGATTTACTTTATTTGTATTAGAAATGATGTAAGCAAGCAACACGACTGACCCTGGGTTTGATAGAAGAATCAATCATTTGACAGTCCATACAGTCATGGTATGTGCTTGAACCAGGTTTAGTGTTTGTTGAACATAAAAATGATTATTTGCAAATAAAAATTATGAGGTTTTTTCTTCTTAAAATCGATGAAATAGCTAGTGAATCTGAATTAAACATAGATCAAGTAAACTAATAATTTCTTATTATTCGATAAAAAATAACTGCAATCAGCAGCATGTTACTTAGTATTAGGAAGGGTTCCAACAACGCAAAACCAATTCTAGGAAAAACAAATAATGCCTATCATATCCGTTGTTATTAATTCAAATTTTATTAATACCTTCTTCTTCTTTCACTTATGATGTTCATAATGATGTTTATGCTACCACACCATTTTCTTATGATGTTGACATATTGATTCCAAACCATGTCAAGCATGGAATTTTCATAATAATGTTCCTATTTAAAATAAATAATTAAAAAAGATTTTTTGTTTTTTAACAAATCCGAATAATAATAATGATAATTGTTTGTTCGCTTTATTTTAAAGGACGATTTTTACTTGAATGTTCTTGACTGGCCTACTTTTGACATGCTAGGATTTGGTTTAGATTTGATGGTTCATTTTTGGAATTGTGGTGCAAAATGGGTAAAAGTTTTTATTTTTATATTTTTGATAAATATATGTTAAAATTTAAGATATAATCTGTTTAGCATGTATCTTTTTAAACAATTAATTAGTTGATGCAACTACAAACATTAAACATAGAGTCTACAGTTACATCTGTCAAATAGTCCAAGATGGTAAATATCAAGGAGAGAGAGATCTTTAAAAAATATACACGGAATTAATATAGAATCCTTTTTTTACACTAATCAATTATTATTATTTTTAGAATATGAACCTTGCAGTGGGTATGCTAAATGGAAGAGTACAAATTTGGGATTTAAAAACACTCACGAAAATTCATGACATGAATGGACATATGAAACAAGTTGGTAAATGTCAAAAAAATTTTTTTTTGTTGAACAACAAAATACTGATTAAGAACTTATGCTTAGGTATTCTTAATAGATTTGTGGATTAGAATGGAATATTGAAGGAAACCAATTAGTGAGCAGTAGTAATCTTAATGAACTTTTTTTTATTTGGGAGAATAGAAAACATAACCCAATTTACAGTCTTCATGATCACACTGCTGCAATTCAAGCTTTATCATAGAGCCCACATGAAAGTAATTTATTAGTTAACAGTGATGGTCACTTTGATAGAAAGATTTGTATTTGGAATACTTTAATGGAAAATGTTTAGGGAGACATGATTCAAAATCTCAGGCATGGCAAATCAATTAATAATTAGTAGCAATTATTATATGAATCATCATTATTTAAAATACCATTTTATTTTTCATATTCTATATTTATAGGTTTGTAATTTACATTGGTCATTGGTTATGAATGTAATAGTTTTTACACATGGCTAGTGGAAAAATGATATCTATATTTGGAAGCACCCATTGATGAAAAAAATAGAACTTTAAAAAGTCATACTTATTGAGTTCTATACATGAGTCACTTACCAAATGGAGAAGATATCAGGGGCAAGTGGCAATGACAATACCTTGAGATTCTGGAAGGTTTTTAATTCACTGTTAATCAGGCAAAAAAAAAACTTGGAATCCTCACTCAAATTGGGATAGATTGATTTGTTAAATATATAAACATGTATATTACTATCTATCTATATTAATTATTTAATCATTTCAATCAATCATTCATATATACATAAATATTTTCTGTCACATACAAGTATATAAATTAAATAATTTGGGGGAAAACCAACAAAGTTGACATAATGTCACAAATTTTACTGTTGAAATTTGTTCAACATCACAATTGCATTATTGTGTAGGATGATTGTGATATTAGTAACTTTTCAACATCTTTTTCCTGTGTTTTACTTTTCATCATCTTTTCATGGCATAACTTTTTAAAATAAATTATATAAAAGGTATATTTATTTAATAAAAGCTACCTTTTGGGGGTGAAGAGCTAAAACCAAAATCGAATAAAGATACATATGTAAACTTGATAAGTCGGCAAAGTTTTCACCCCATTTTCTTAATATTAAAGTAATTTAATTCGACTCGATAAGTCGGTCATATGAGCTCACCCCCACATGACCGACTTATCGAGTTTACATATGTATTTATTTTTGATAGAATTTCCAAATCGGAAAAACTCTAGTACATAGACAAATTTGATTGATCAGCTGTGCATGTGCTGACTTATCAAAGATGAACAGCTTATCGAGAGCAGGACCGGGAAAACTCTATTGTATGTGACCGCCAAATTAAATGACAAATCACATTAATGCGAATCTTAGTTTTTTATAATTATGCGGATCGATTTTCCGAACACATTTTAAAAAATTATTAATAATGCGAATCGAAATAACTGAGGACATGAAATTTATCTTTATTGATTAAAAGAAAGTTTTGTGTACTTGATTGACTAAAATGATTATAAATTAGCAATCAAACAAGGATTATCATTAATATTAGAATAAGGATGTATTCCCAAAAAATAAACTACTTCTCGTGGTGTAATATGAATTGTAATGTCTCCTGCCAAATTTTCACATGAAAATACAGGAAGATAGGCTTTAATAGAAATATTAATGATCTGCCGGCTTTTCCATCCATGAATGTCGTTGCACACATTTTTCATAAAACGTAATAACTTTGTCCCAAACACTTGATAATTGACTCCAAGTGAAATAATTTGACCACATTTACAAATTCTTGAAGTTAGGAAAACGTTTTTGGCGTGAATCATAAGGAATGACTTTTCATTTAATTTTATTAATATTAATAACGCGAATTATAGTGTAACCGATAACATTTTTATTAATAATGCTGACATTTTTTATTCATTTTTTTCTTCGAATTATATAGAAGCGGTGGTGACCTTTTCCATTTTCTATCAATAGTGTTGGCGGTCACGTTTTCCCGGTCCTTCGAGAGCACAATCTCATGCATATTTTCATTTGGTGTGACATTTATTATGATTAGATAGCGCGTGACATATAAATAAATAAAATAAAAAGTTTATTACTTTTATATCATAATTAATCATGTCTCTTAAACAATATAAAACATTAGGTGAAGAAGTATGGAAAAATCGTGTTGAAAAAATTGTAATTTTCTTTGTTTTTTTTTTTTTTTAATAATTAATTTTTGAAAAAATTTAATTTAATTAATTGTCTTATAATTTAATTAATAGAATGCAGAATTATTTACTTTAACTTATGGTTCAATTGTTGCACAACTTGTCAAAGATTATGA